GGCGACAGAACCAACGGGGCCAAGGATTCACGTAAGGCCGCATTGAATATTGTGGGTGCATCGCGGAAACCCTGGCAGAGGCGGGTGAAATTATATATGCGCCCGTCAAACGAAAACGCGAACCAGAATTGGGAATCTCCGTGCACTGGAACAGAGAAAAACGCATTAGCCAAATCAACAACAGAGAAAAATTTAGCTTCAGGCGGAACCTGACTCAGGATTGTGTATGGATTTGGTACCACTGCCACCATGGGAGCCACAGCATCATTTACAGCTTTAAGATCATTCGTAAACCGCCACTTTTCAGGCGCTCCTGGATCAGTGTGTTTTTTTACTGGGAGGATGGGGCTGCAAACACCCCCGGACTTGCAAGGGACGATTACACCATTCTCCCGTAGCGCTTCGAAGACTGGTGTAATTCCCTTGATAGCCTCCTCACGCAAGGGGTACTGCTTCCCGGTAGATGAGTCTCCCGTACGGTTTCCCTCGTGGCACCCCTGTGTTCACCGTCAGCCCGCTGTCTGTCCACGCCTAGTCAGTCCGCCTCGTGACGCATCTGGTGGTTGCCGTGTTGTGAGCCTTCATAGCGGTGCTGTTGTCCGTGTTGACTCTGTTGTGCCTGGTGCTGGTACTGGTCCGGCTCTCGGTTGTGGTTTTGTTGCCACTCCTGCGGGACGTTCTGGTTCTGCTGCCACTGCTGCTGGCCGCCCTGCCGCGGCTGCCACTGCTGCTGGCCGCTCTGCCGCGGCTGCCACTGCTGCTGACCGCTCTGCTGCGGCTGCCACTGCTGCTGGCCGCCCTGCCGCGGCTTGCGACACTGTCTTGCCCTGTGGCCAACTTTTCCACAGTTCCAGCATGTCCACGGTCCGTTGTTTCTCTCCCATCCCTTTTTGTCCTTTTTGGAAATGTCATTGGGGTTTAAGGAATTAGGGGCTTGGACCGACAGCAGCGTAGCCTGAGTTTTAAATGTTTCCAAGCAAAAAATTGCATGTTTGGCGTGCATAAGTAGTTCCTTTATCTGTGGTCCGTCATCAAATGCGACATACGAGTCCCGCACCTTTAACGCCACCTCTGGTAAAAGTCCTTCGACAAATCTGGAGCATAAATAACCGTTGTAAACGGGATTGTCCTTCTCCTCCCCGTCCGTTGCAGCTGGGAGCTTCGGGGGTACACCAGAGTGCTCATTGAACACAGACAGCAGGCGGCTATAGTACTCCTCGACCCTTTCCCCTTTTTCCTGCTTGCATTTAGACAGGATGGTTAGGTCGTATTTGCGTGGAAAAACTGCTGCTAGCCCGTCACACATTTTCTTTATGGCAGTCAAATATGCTCCGGAGTCTGACTCCACAATGTCTTTAGCCCGTAGTCCTGGCTCTGGCAAATATGGCTTAAATTTCCCAAAGTCCGCAGGCGACATCTTGTAAACGAGAACCCGAGCGCACTCCGCTCCTGAGGGCTTGTATTCGCGACAGAAAGCGAGCAGGTCTTCGCAGAATTTTGAGCAGTTTGTCTCTGGCCGTGTAGATAGCAGTTGTGAAGCGGATAGAAACTCGCTCGGCCCCCAGGGTCTGAAGACCAGCGCCGGTCCTTCTCGGCCCACCATCTCTATCATGGGGAAAGTGGCGGTGAAGTGATTTGTGGGCCTTGGTTCCCGCCGGAGCGTTGCCCTGCTCCATCGCGGCTCTGTTTCTGGTGCTTCTTCTTCTGCTGCCGACAGCGCGGGGGCCACTTCCTGTGGGGCGTCAGCAGATGCGAGAGGCTTTGGGAGGCACTGACGTGGTTGGCTCTGGCGCGGCGGTGTTTCAGGAGGACAGGGGCCGGTTTCACACAGCGGGGCCACAGAGGAAAGCGTAGACAAATCTGGGTAGAGAGAGAGAGAGGGGACAACAGTAGTCTGTACATTTTTTAAAACAGCGCTCTGCTTGGGCGCGTACTTAGCATGGAGTTCTGCTCCTTCTGTGAATGGGTTAGTAGGTGAGAAGGGGCGGTATGGTGGGGGGTGTGGGGGGTGTGTGTGTGTGTGTGTGTGTGTGTCTGCCTGTGTGCCTGCCTGTGCGTCCCCCCCCTTCCGTGGAAGGTGGAGCAGCTATGGCTTTATTCGTCTTTTTGCGGTCCCGTTCTGTAGCTAAATCCTCCCACATGGCAAGACAGGTCTGGTGTTTCAGTATAGCCCTAACATCTTCTGCTGTAATTTTCTTAAAACCAAGTATTTTTTCCTTTTCTTCTTCTAAATTATCACGCAAGATGCGTAATTGATTTAGAGACATGCTCCCTCCGTCGGGAAAACCAAATGAACTACACCATATAGGCAAGCATTCCATAGCTTTAGCTCCGAACCGTTTTTCCATAGCCATAGTAACGGGGGACGTCAACATTCCCCGCGGCGTGGCATCTCTAGATTGATTTTTCCCCATTTTCTCGTATAGAACAATGGACCTAACCCGTGTAGTCTCTTCCCTGCTCTTTACTCGCTTTGGAGCGATTCGTTCCCCCCCGCTGGTTCAACCAGCGAGCGCGCGTTCTTGAAACGAACCGGGTCTGGCTGAAGACACTCAGAGAAATTATCAGGGTCGCTTACAGAGCGATTACTACCACGCAGCCGCTAGCTTCAATCTAGAACAAAATACCCCAAAAAATCCCGCACACAGACTATGCTGTGGCAATGAATGAAATACCCCAAAAATACGTAAATGAACAAATCCCCGTGTCGACTTAAGGGCTGCCCTGGGCTCGTTACGCAGATGAAAAGACAAAACTCACCAAATTAGGTTCTTTTATGGTCCTGTAGTCGAATAGTTTTTCCAGCGCGAGGCGAGCCGTGTCCCCCCTGCTTCTCGTCAAACACTAAGTGAGGTAGGAGGCTGGTCCTTTGTCCCAGGTTTGGCCAAAACAACACGAGTCGTCTCCACGCCGAAAAAAAAAATCCAACAAGAACGTGTCAGCAACGCCAAATTGTTAAGGAAGTTTCTATCCAATGAAGGAGAAAACTCAGAAGTCTTTGTCTTAATCCAGGAGCGTAAGTTTATTGTAACACACGTGCGGAGAGCTAACATATACAAAAAGGCAGCATATCCCAGCTCTGGCTCGCAGAGCTCAGGCTTCCTGTTTACATAGACACACATGAAAGACAGTCACGCCCACAACAGATGGGAGGGGGTTCAGCAGAGACGGGGCTCTGGAGCGGAGACGCCATGTCCCGTGGAGAGACATCTGGCCGCGCCATAGGGATGCAAACAGACTGCAGGATGTAGAAAATGCACACATACAGACCGATACATATGCAAGAGGCGAAAGGGGGGCGAGAGTGATACAGTGATTTGCGCCATTGTCTGTAGGTGTCGGGGGGACCCGGCTCCTTCCTGGAGCAGGGACATATGAATAGAAGCAGGCAGGGTTGCATGAATACTAGCCGCTTGCCATCACAGTACTCATCCATGATAATAGCATTGCATGGTGAGTTTTCAAGACGTTTTGAAGATCTCAGAACTATTGAGGATGAGATGAAGATGATTTCCTCCCCCTTTACCTGCAGTGTAGATAATGCACCCAGTGATGTTCAGATGGAACTGATTGACCTGCAGTCTGATGCAGTCTGATGCAGTCTGATGCAGTGTCTGATGCAGTCTGATGCAGTCTGATGCAGTCTGATGCAGCCTGATGCAGTCTGATGCAGTCTGATGAAGTCTGATGCAGTGTGATGCAGCCTGATGCAGTCTGATGCAGTGTCTGATGCAGTCTGATGCAGTCTGATGCAGTCTGATGCAGCCTGATGCAGTCTGATGCAGTCTGATGCAGTCTGATGCAGTCTGATGAAGTCTGATGCAGTGTGATGCAGCCTGATGCAGTCTGATGCAGAGTCTGATGCAGTCTGATGCAGAGTCTGATGCAGTCTGATGCAGTCTGATGCAGTCTGATGCAGACTGATGCAGACTGATGCAGTCTGATGCAGAGTCTGATGCAGAGTCTGATGCAGTCTGATGCAGTCTGATGCAGTCTGATGCAGTCTGATGCAGTCTGATGCAGTCTGATGCAGTCTGATGCAGACTGATGCAGACTGATGCAGTCTGATGCAGTCTGATGCAGTCTGATGCAGTCTGATGCAGTCTGATGCAGTCTGATGCAGTCTGATGCAGTCTGATGCAGTCTGATGCAGTCTGATGCAGACTGATGCAGTCTGATGCAGTCTGATGCAGTCTGATGCAGTCTGATGCAGTCTTGGCAGTGCATCTTCTAGATTTCTACTCCTCTCTTGTGGAGGAGAACTTTCCAAACATGAGGAGATATGCCCAGAAGATGTTGGTTCTGTTTGGTTCTACGTACATATGCGAACAGACATGTTCAACTATGAAGTTCACAAATGCAGGTATAGATCCTCTCTCACTGATGAGCATTTGTCAGCCTTGCTTCGCATCTCCACCTCAGACATTCAGCCTGACTTTGATGCTCTTGTTAAAGCTCAGCAGAGACAACATTTCTCTCACTGAGAATAAATCACTTAAACACCACATCCACCTTTTGTGACAGATTACAAAAGGAGGCATGTAAAGGAAGTGGCAGTGACCCGGGACACTTGGGAAAAGCCTTTTTTGTTTTTCAAAATCACAGTTTTGTGATGTTTAATAACAATTCAATATGTTTCTTGCTTAGTTTGGATGGTTTGGATGGTTTGGACACAAAAAACAATATTGTGGTTTCTTTATGGCACATTCACTGAAAATGTAGACTAAAAAAAGTCTATTTGTCACAAATGTGAAAAACTATTTTTGTTTAGTATTACTTTCAAACATTTATTGAATAAACTACATTTTATATAAGGCAACTTCAATCGTATGTCACTTGTGTAACTAAGTATAAATATATATAAGTAACAATTTCAGATAATATTATGTATATTTGAGTTCACATTTTTCATCCGGCCCTTCACAACATTTTCTGTTTCTCATGCGGCCCCCTGTAAAAAATAATTGCCCACCCCTGGTATAGAGTGTGCGGTGCAGGAGATGTTGGGGCAGGTGGAGAGCCTGGTGGAGAGGGCTGTGGAGAGGGCCCTGCTCCCAGAGGACCAGGGGACACTCCTGGACTGTCCCAGTCTCACTTCAGGTTTGAGGCTAAACACACACTCAATGAAACATACACGGACTGGGGACATGCTTCACTACATGTACTGAACTATTGTCGTGCATAAACTTAACTGTGTATGATTCATATTGTTCATTGAATGTCTAGCTTATAAATATTTTAGCTTATAATTTGTTTATAGCGGGTAAATGTCATGTCGTTTTTACCATAGACTGTGAATAATTGTACTGTTACATTCAAGAGATAAAATATATAGTCACTTTTTATTGGATGTTATTATGAACAATAATATGATAGTAATTCATAGCATAGTAATTTTATGAAATAAATTATGTTTCTTGTAGTAAAAAGTTGTACATATTATTTTCTGTTCTCTGTTGACAGCAGTCTCTCAGATCAACATCTCTGAAGCCCACCTCAGATTAAATGAAGTGCTTGTGGCTGGAACCAGTAAAAACACAGAGTTCTCAGGAACAGGTGTTTTTCAAGAGCAGGACTTTGGCGACTGCTTTAATGTGAAAGTGGAAAACAATCAACAAGAACAAGATGAACGACAGACAGACTCTTTCAGTGACGACAGCAACGAGGCGTGGAGGGCGAAACATGGAGCAACATCATCAAGAGGTTGGAAGAAGAAAGATTCAGTTCAAAAAGAGGAGGTGACACAGTCTGAAGTGACGCCACACTGCAGTGATGTCTGTGGGACAGGTTTTGAAAACAAGTCTGAACTAATAATCCATCAATGCACTCACACTGGAGAATTACCTTATCAATGTGACTTTTGTGAAAAGTCATCTACCTCTTCAAGTGTCCTAAACGTGCATAAACTCACTCACACTGGGGAGAAACCACATAATTGTGATGTTTGTGAGAAGTGTTTCGCACAGACCTCTACTCTTAATAGACATAAACGTCTTCACACTGGAGAGAAACCTTACTCCTGTGACGTCTGTAGAAAATCCTTCAGTCGAAGATACAGACTAAAGCAACATAAATGTGCTCCAAAAGCAGAGGCCATGTCTTCTGCTGAATCTCCAGCAGGAGGCGCAACACAGAGCAGTGATCTGAGGACAGAAGAGACAGTAACATTCAAAGCAATTACATTTATTTTTGCTCATCCCTAAATCACAAGAGTCGTAATCTGGGACTAGTGATCGGCTCAAACACAAGAAATGCATTCACAACAAACACATAGAACCCCTTGGTCTTAAAGGGCAGATGTCCAATGACTATAAGTGATAATAAACTACTGGAGATTAACAGAAATGACATCAATACTTACTTTTTCACATTATCAACCATCAAAAACAGTTATTAGGATGGTCAGAAGGAGGTAAAGATTTCTGAAAAACTACTTTTGCTGACTGATTTTAACATTTTAAAACTCCTGGCAGTCCATTTTCTGTGATATTTACTACTATATTTCTCTTACTCTTACTCTCTTACTATATTTTTTTTAATTGATTTTTATGTTTGATATCTTTGACTTTGTACTGCTGTGTTTCTGTCAGTAGGTGGCACTGTTTTCTGATCGTTTTGGTTGCTGAGTATTTTGCCTGATGTTATTTTGTAATGTCTTTCTGTTTTAGAAATGTATAATAATCCATTTGAAGTGTTGTGTTAGAAAATATATATACATAGTTTGAAGTAATCATTATCTACTGCATTTTTACAGTTTGTGAAGAAAAATGTACACCATAGGAAGCAGATGCAAGTAAAGGGAATCTGGTAAAAAACACACTAGATTTACTAGATTTTTATCCACCTAGATTAAATATATTCTTGTCATTTATTTTGCTTCTATATTTGCTACATATAAGAACATTAGTCTGTGATTACATGTAACTCATTATAAGAATATGAACTCTCTGGGATCACAACATTCCACAGAGCCTAAAGTTGCTGTTCGAGGGCAGATTAAAAATAATTCCTGGAAACTATGCTAAATGTATAAAGTCAGGATTCTAGTTTTAGTTTAAGACAAGACAACCTTTACCTTTCCAGTTGGAAGACAGGACAGTAGTTCAGTGAGAGCACAAGGTTAAGTGGCACACAAAATATGCATTGAAAGTATCTGAGCTGTCAATGGTTCTTAATATAGACCTGTAGTACACTCTGGAAGCAATGAATATATGTATAACAAAGTATAGTAGCAAGATGCGAGCAGAATTAAGAGCTTATCTCTCTTCTTCTTGGGATAATCTAAAACAAAAAAGGTCACAAATCTCAGTCAGTGCATTCAAAAACAATCAAATTATTTTCTCATAAACATGAATGAGGTTGGCCACTAGAGAGGACTTGCAGACATATAGGAGTAATGTGGGTTTGTGAATCTAGTCACTTTAATCACAAATAAGCAAAAAGCCCCATGGATAAAAGCAGGCCCGGTCAGGGCACAGAAGCAAGAGTGCCGGAGAGCAGAGAGAAAGTGGAGAAAGTCCAACCTCCAGGGTGATTATTAGACTCTTAAAAGAGAAGTTGTGTGAGTTTAACAGAGTACTACGTAGAACAAGAGAATTATACTTTTCTGAAACTATTGAAGGCTGCAGCAACAATCTGCGTGTTCTATTTTCAACAATCAATAGATTAACGAACCCCCCTGTTGAGTTGCCATTAGAACACTACTCCAAATCCAGGTGTAATGAGTTTGCACAGTTCTTCAGAGACAAGGTTCAGGGTATCAGAAATGCCATCACCTCTACAACACAAGTAACAATGCAACATCCAGTGAGGCTTTGTGAGCTAGCTCAATTTGCACCTGTCAATGATGAAACTGTTAAAAAGATAATCACAGGTCTTAGTTCCTCTACCTGCAGTCTGGATGTACTACCTCCTAGATTTCTGAAGTCTGTTATGTGTAGTCTATTACCCTCATTGACACAAATAGTAAACATGTCTTTTTTATCTGGAACATTTCCAATGGCCCTGAAAAAGGCAGTCATTAGGCCCCTCCTAAAAAAGAGCAGTTTGGATGCTGCGGTACTTGAAAATTACCGTCCCATCTCAAATCTGCCTTTCATGGGAAAAATTCTTGAAAAAGTTGCCTACCAACAACTTACTGAATTTTTAATATCTAATGACTCATTTGACATGTTTCAGTCTGGCTTTAGACCACACCACAGTACTGAGACCGCTCTAGTCAAGGTAACAAATGATATTCGGCTTAACACTGATGCAGGAAAAGTCTCTGTTTTAGTCATGTTAGATCTGAGTGCCGCTTTCGACACCGTTGACCATGAGATTCTCATGCAGAGACTGGAGGACTGGGTTGGTGTTGCTGGTACCGCCCTAAGCTGGTTTAGGTCCTATCTAGAAGAAAGGAAGTACTGTGTGGAGATTGGAAACTATGTCTCAGATAATATGGCCCTGACCTGCGGAGTGCCACAGGGGTCGATTCTGGGACCTCTCCTGTTCAATATTTACATGCTGCCATTAGGTCAGTTAATTCAAAGTATGAAAGTGTCCTACCACAATTACGCTGATGACACTCAGATCTATGTCTCACTGACTGCAGGAGAGCATGGGCCGGTGGACTCACTCCTTCGCTGTATCCAGCGGATCAGTGAGTGGATGCAATGCAATTTTCTCCAGCTAAATGCGGACAAAACCGAAATGATTGTCTTTGGTCCCGAGAAACAAAGAGAGACCGTCATTTGTCACCTTCAGTCTCTCTCCCTAAGGCCCTTAAATAAGGTCAGAAATCTGGGAGTAATAATGGACTCTGACTTAAACTTCAATAGCCACATTGGATCGGTAACATCAGCAGCTTTTTATCATCTGAAAAATATTGCCAAAATTAAAAATATTGTGTCCAGGGCAGACTTGGAGATTCTTATCCATTCTTTTGTTTCCAGTAGGCTGGATTACTGCAATGGCCTGCTCACAGGTATCTCCAAACATGCAGTAAGACAGTTGCAGTATATTCAAAATGCTGCAGCCCGAGTCCTGACTAGAACCAGGAAGTACGACCCCATTAGTCCGGTCCTCAGGTCTCTGCACTGGCTTCCCGTGGCCCAGAGGATAGACTTTAAAGCAGCTCTCCTGGTGTACAAGTCTCTCCATGGCCTTGCACCAAAGTACATCCATGATATGCTAGTCTCATATGAACCAGCCCGGACTCTGAGGAGCGCAGGGACGGGACTCCTGTTAGTGCCCAGAGTCAGGACTAGACAGGGGGAGGCTGCTTTTCAGATTTATGCAGCTGGAGTCTGGAACGGTCTTCCTGAGGATGTGAGACTGGCTGCCTCTCTGTCAATGTTCAAATCCATGTTAAAGACTTTTCTTTTTTCCCGTGCATACAACTAGAGAATTTTATCTTTTTAACACACCTTGTTATTTATTGTTGTAACTTTTTGTGTTTTTAACTATTTTATTGTTTTTAATTACTTGTGTGATTTTTATGTTTTTAAATTACTTATGTGATTTTAATGCTTTTTAATTACATATGTGTTTTTAATTGTATTTTAATGGTGATGATTTGTGCATTGTGTGGTGTGGACTGTGAGGCGCTTTGTGTTGCCCTGTGCAGGAAAAGCGCCCTATAAATAAAGATTGATTGATTGAATCACCTGGGAAAAAAACATATTGGGCATTGTTATTATTTAGTCACTAACATGAACGCAACCAATCTGGGACCTCTCTGTCTCATGCGCTTCAGGCTTTCTTGCCTCCTTGTTCAGCCGCTTCCTGGACCTCCCTGACCCCGCCGCGAGTCGTCTCGTGGGGTTTGTGGAAGACGAGTGATTCCCCCATGGACCCTACTGTTTGCAAGCTGTATCTATGGCGACGCACTGTGGCAACAACAGCTGTAGCAGGAGATGAAGCAGGTGTGATGAGGCCTGTCTCACCAGGGGCATCAGCAAAGACAAATGCTCATTACTCTGCGTGTGAGGCACTTTGGACAGCTGGTGTTGTAAGTCCATCCATCCATCCATCCATTTTCTTCCCCTTTGTCCATTTCTACGCAAATCACATAGCACCGGCAGCCCCTCACTGATCCTCCTGCAGGCGGTGAGTCCACAAGGAGGATGTTATCAATGTGCAATACAAATAAAGGTGACATCTACAGTTATCAGCAGCATTATGGCTCATACATTTTCTACCTTCAAGTAATTCTTATTATGTTTTTTTCTGGCATCAGTACTCTCCATATACCTGGGCCTATTATTCTGGAAACTAGATATAAACCTAAATATCTGTAAACCTGCTTTCTACCCATTCAATTATCACACAAAATGACTGATTAAAAACAGGTTTGAAGTGGTTCAAACGTAAGTGAATTAATTTATTGTGTGACACCAAAAAAGTGGTTATTGTGACCTCTAAAAAAACAGCCCTGCCTCAAACACTCAAGTCCTGCACCAGGAGTTCCCACTTTTGGTCTCATACATGCGCCCAGCTGAGCAGATGGAGCCTTGTGATGCTTTTAATTGTAACTTTGCCTCAAATGTGGAACAGTAATTATGTAATAATATGTAACCATGCATTGTCTCGGATACTTTGTGCATTTGCTTTTCACACATGCAGGGTCAACAGTAGCAGCACAAGTCAATTTCCCTCATGTGCAACAAGAAACACATTTCTAATAGTACGCATGGCTTTTCCCTGTGCTCTTAAATGCATCCGCTGGCCATGTCTCAGTTGTATCCAGCCCTTATGCCAGCGTAATCTGAGTAGAAACGCCAAATAGACTGTTTTTTCGTACCTCAAGTTTCCAGCCTTCTTCGTCTATTTCTTCTTATTAAATTGAAAAAAGGCTGAATGAAGTTATCAGGTTTCCCCTCGTGCTTTGTAAACGTACATAATCTGGGTCACGCACGCTGCAGGTCGGACGGTGGGACTTTGCCGTGAAGTATTCCAGGTATGTGAAAGCAGACAGCCCCCTTCTTATAAGAAGCCCACCCCCTGGAAGACCAAAGACCAGACCCCGGCAGGATTACAGTTCTGTCCTGGTCTGAAACCTCCAGCAGAGCTCAGAATGAGGGAAAAGCTCTCAAATATATTCTCTCATGGGGATAGGAGTTTATATTTAGGAAAGACCACATTCACATGACCCATCAGTAAGTTTAGATTTAGACAAACAGCCACAAATACAAGTATCCAAACTAACTACTGTGTGTGAAGTATTGAGAAATGTATTAGTAATTATAATATAGCTTGATTACCTAACATTTTGGTTTCATAAATTATGTTTGTCCCAACCGCAAGAGTCAGAATCAGACACACAACATATTAGAATACTTTTCCATACTTGTGTCTTGTGTCACTATTAGAAGTTTTTGAGCTGAGAGAACTGGGTATTTTTTGGATAAGTGAGGTTTTTTTTGTTTGTTTTTTGTCTGTAAAAGCTGATTGAAAGGTGTGACAGAGGCTAAAAAGACGTTTCAGTTTGTTTTGTTTACACAGTGTGCACCTGTTTCTCCGCTGACAGCTGAGACAACACCGAACAGATTCAAATGTCAGTATTCAACCGGAACCTGAATCCACTCCTTTTACCTCAGGAGTGACGCGCTTACAAAACAACATATGCAAATGATTTATTGTAACTGAAATAATCCAAAAATAATAGATATATTGATTTTTGATTATTATGACCTTGAAGATACATAAGAATTGACTATTTATTATAATTTGGGGAAAGAAAATATTGTTTCAGCCCCATACTGTACGTGCGATCTCTGAGGTTGACTGTAGCCAATGAGTTTGCAGTGGCTTTTTGACCTGAAAAGTATTTTTATTCACATGTGTTATATTTCTATTTCAGCCTTTTTTTACCTTTACATGTTACATGTTCAATTGTCAGAAATCATGAATTATTTTGGTCCAAGCACTGAACCTTGGGGGACTCCACACAATATTCGTTATTTATGACAAAATTGTGGAGATTATTTTGTCTTTAATTGCAATCTTTAATTGTATATTTCTTTACTTCCCTAAACCAGAAGTAAATGTATTTTGAGCTCAGGTGTCCTTCCTCAGGGTTCCCGTCACAGCAGCAGCTCTGTCCCGGGACACAAAGAGCCTTCTGTTCATGTGAGGGACACTGCAGCACGAGAACCACCACAATCCTCCAAAACATGGTTATTTAGGTCAGTGTTTTTCAACCTTTTTTGAGCCAAGGCACACTTTTTTCACAGAAAAAATCTTGCGGCACACCTCCAGGAGAAAATGTAAAAATGTATACAGTACTAATGTAAAAAAATATATACTGTACATACTCTGTGTGATATATAAAGTATATCTTATCTTATAATGTATACAGTATACTCTGTAGCCTATATTCACAATATACAGTTATTCTCATCAAAATGCTTAAGTCCAGGCCTTGACATTAAGCTTTATTTAATATTTCTCGATACAATTAACAAGAGTTTGGGAATAAAGTGGCACTAACTGTGTGGAAAAAAAACTAAGAAAATCCACTCTCTGCCCAAATAGTCAAATAATAACTCACACAAAGAACATGCATTGTTAGTGCATGGGAAACATTTTGGTATCCGAGCTTTAAATTCAGGAGTTTTGGATGAGGGACACGGGAGGTCCTGAACGCGAGTCCATGGTTCTGTCCGGTCCGCATGTCTGTGGTTCTGTCCACTCGACTATGGTCTGCGCTCGGTACCCAGTTCAGAAGTGCGTTCGCGAGAGCTGTTGTACAAAAATTGTACATTTCATAGTTAAACCACTACAACGCGGCCACAGCTGCCCCGGGGCAGAGCGGAGGATGTTAATCCTGTTCAGAAACGGCATAATTCATTTTCAAAAACGTCTCTATCACTTTCACTTCTCACTCGCCACAAAGCTCTTGTCTCGCTCCCTCCCACATTTGTTGGTCGCATCCAATTTTACCTTTCTCGCCACAATGCTGACCTGTTACAGCCAGTGGTCGCATCCAATTTTTCAGTTTCAAAGTACTTAGCTATCTGCTGCCATCTACTGATTTGAAAAAGTACTACATGGTTACTCACAGTTCAAAACAAGTCACCGCTCGTCAACAGCGAATGCAGCTATTTTTAGACAAAGTAGACGAATTTCTCACGGCACACCAGACAATATCATACGGCACACTAGTGTGCCGCGGCACAGTGGTTGAAAAACACTGATTTAGGTAACACGATATAGAACATAAGAAAGCGAGGAGGAGAGGTTGGATTACAATTAATGTATCATGAAGACAAGCGTATTATTCTATATGATAATAATAATGATAGTTCTCTCTTAGACCTGGGAGCTCAGTTTGAAGGTGGAAGAGTAATTTTCCACTGAGCAAATGTTATTTCATACTTTAGTGTCCCCGTAGGGCTATTTGTCCTCTGCCTTTGACCCATCCTGCAATCCCACTAGAGCCAGTGCAGAGGCCAAAGACCCAAATGTTAATGCTCAGCTTGGTCAGGACTGGAGCTGAAGGATTTGTATCTATTATACAAGTTTTAAGAAGTAAGGAAAAATAGAGCACCAGGAGGAAGCCTACACAGATATGGGGAAAACATGCAAAGTCGTGTTCTGCCTGGGATTCGAACCAAGGACCTTCTTGCTGAACCACTCATGCAGTGTATTATAAAAGCAGCTATTATTGTAAAAGGACACCACCGCTTTTGTCAATAAAAGTGGTTTACAAGAAGATCCTGGGTTTGAATCCCGGTCGGAACAGGGTCTTTCTGAGTGGAGTTTGCATGTTCTCCCCGTGCCTGCGTAGGTTTCCTCGGGGTACTCTGCTTTCCCCTACCACTATGCTCACTAGGTTAAATCCTCCAGCTCTGATAGTCCTGACCAAGCCGAGCATCAACATCTGGAGATGGGTTCCCGGGCACTGTTACTACGACGACCACTACTCCTGACGTAAGCCTTCGCAGCATCAGGATGGGTCAAATGCAGAGGATTGAATTGCCCTATGGTGTTTAATAAAGTGCACCTTTATTCTCTAAAAGCCAAGTGCATGCTAGTTGTTGTTTGCTTTACTGTGATACGTCTGCTCTAGAAAAAAAATAGTACGTTGTGGAGAGAACTTTATTACTTTTGGTGAAAAAATCTGAAAATTGTTTCTACTGCTGCAAATGAACTTTTTTTTTACTTTTCTTTTCAACTATTGTGTACATAACCAAAACTGCTCATACCGAAGCAGTGACACATATATACGCACAAAAATGTATACTGTATAGGCAGTTTCAGTAATTGCATGTCATTTGTTGTCCATTCTTCGTTTACAGTTTGTGTGTCATTTCCCGGTTTTGCCTCAGAGGACAAACAGGAAGAAGCCCAGAGCACAGCGGAGCAACTAATGAGACGTAAACAGGTGAGGGCCAGGGACAACCGAGAGCAGGGACCTCAGGGACAGATCCTCCAGAGAGATGAACCTCGCCATAAAAGCTTAGTCATGATACAAACAGAGAAAGCAAAGTCTTATTATGAGAAATTAGATTGTTTTGTTCTGCTGTAAAATTATGATAATGACTTCTGCTGTAGTTCTGTAAACAGATTTCCATAATTATGTTAATTGAAAGAAGAGGGCTATTAAAACATCTTTCTCTGAGCCAAAATGTATACTACTACTACTACTACTACTACTACTACTACTACTACTACTACTACTACTACTACTACTACTACTACTACTACTACTACTACTACTACTACTACTACTGCTGCTGCTGCTAGTACTACTGCTGCTGCTGCCTCTACTACTATTATCACTACTTTACTACGGCCACTACTACTACTGCTACTACTGCTACTACTACTACTACTACTTTACTACTGCTGGTGCTACTACTACTACTTTACTATTGTCACTATTAATACTACTACTACTATTTCTACTTCTGCTGCTGCTACTTCTTCTACTATTTCTACTACACGACTACTATTACTTCTACTACCATTAGTACTGCTTATCTCTCACTCCACACACAGATGGAGCTGGGTTGCCAGTACAGGAGGCGCATGCCAGACATGCCTATTGGACATATTTTTAGTGGTAGGGGAAACCGGGGTACCCGGAGGAAACCTACGCAGACACGGGGAGAACATGCAAACTCCACTCAGAAAGGCCCTGGTCCGACCGGGATTCGAACCCAGGACCTTCTTGCTGAGAGGCGAGAGTGCTATCCACTCAGCCACCGTGCCGCCCATTATTGTTTTGATAGGTCGGTTATAAAGAAATAATGACCGGTAGAATGTTTTGAAATTACATTCAAATCAATGGAGCGTTCTACTGCTGCTGTGAGGAGCTGTATAATAAGGCAAAATATTAGGTAATTAATGGTTGATTTGAGTGGGGGGGTTTTTTTATCTTAATTTGAGTGCATTTTGACTGTGTTCAAACAACGGGACAAAGCCGTTCAGTCTTATTTCAAGAACTATTTCTTTATTTTCTCATTCCAAGGGAGAAATGTCTTCTATCTTTTTAAAACAAGATCATTTTGCTTTGTCCCATTGGCAAATCGTGTTGAAAGGCAGTTAAAATGTGCTCAATATAAGATTCATTATGCCAAATTTGAGGAATGTTTGACTTGTTTTTCTTACTTTTACAAGATTGTTCTGTTTTGTAAAATGTATCTATGAACAAAACAAGTTTGGTATCCCAGCTTTAATCACTGTGTTTATTTCTATTGAGCTTTTACTAATCTGTGATACATTCAGCAGAGTTGCAAAGGCCCAAGTTTCTCTCCACATTGATCTGCTACTGCTGTTTCTACACCTGATCGTGATGACTATTGCTCTCTAAGAAATACAATGTTGGATTACATTTTTAACAACCACAGCAAAATACTTTTCCACTCATCGTTGTGTGGAATTTGCTGAATTTCAATCAATAATGCAATTGTGTTAGCAGATGGAAACATTGGTCTTGAACAAAGGAGAGTGAGTTTGGTTTGAATAATACAGTTTTCATTCATTCCAACATTTTATAACATGTTGTAAGGCAGAAATCATCTCTGCTGCCCTCAATGCAGAAAAGACTTTTGCTGTCTCTGAAAATAAATATAAAAATAGTGTAATGTACTTATATAGTGTTATTCATTCACTCCATACGCTGTCGTGGTAAACTGCGACACAAGCCACAGCTGCCATGGGGCAAACAGTGAGGTAACCCAACTCTGCCACCAATTATCTACACACACCAGACACAGCACTAGTTAAAGACAAAGGGAAAGTGTCTTGCCTCGGGACACAATGATGACAGTTTTGCGCTATACAGCACCCCCGCTGAGGCACCTGCTGTTCCCAGGGGTCTCCCATCACAGTATTCTGAGATCTGGCTTTGAAGTGCAGGTATAGCCACAGAATTACATCATAGTCTGTCATCATAGCTACGGCCTACAGCGTTTGAGATCGGATCATTTAGACAGAAAGGGCAGAGAAAGGTGTTTATGCACATTTTAGCCAGTTCTTAAAAGCATGCATGAAGCTAAAAAACTAAACAATTTTGCAAAGAATGTGTCCTTTAAGTCATTGTAGATGAATATCACAGATTCTTATTAACGTACAGTCACTTATTGTGGTGTCTAAGGCCAAAGATTCTCTGTTAGCAGCTGTACAAAACATTTTCTCTCTCAAATCCAACCAGGACAGCAGAAACTACACTTACCTGTCCTCTTTGACTAGAACCACACAGGAAAAAATAAAAATAATAATAATAATAATAATCAAAAGTATTTAAAAATGTTTGTCTTGTACAAAATTGAGAAAGGAGCTGGCAACAAAAGGTGTTTTTCCTCTCTCTCTGATTCTTTTCATTTGTGTGACAGGACTACAATCATTTGAAATTGAATTGTAATATGTTGTGTGTTGTTATGTCCGAAATTTGAAAAAAAGAAATATTGAGATTCATAATGTTCAAAGTAAATAAAAAGATTTGCATAATGTACAATAAAATTTAAAAATACGTGTTTTCTATCGTCACTGACCTTCCATGACGAAGACCAGGGAGCCCACCTCGCCCTCTTTGATGATGCAGGCCTCCTCCCCGTAGTCCACGGGGTACATGCAGTCCACGATCTCCTGGATCTGAGACAGCTCCAGGTTCTTCATGAAGTCGTTGTCCAAGATGGCGTCTTTTATCAGATCCTTAGACCTGGGACCATGTGGAGAAAGAGACCAAATGTCATTGAGAGACACGTTCTGTATTGTTGAGCTGTGAATGAAAAAACGTTGCTTTTTTTCATTGAATTAAATCAGTAACTCCAGAAATACTGTGTTTAGAGATGTTTTTACAAAATGGTAAAACGGCTTTTACAAAAGCAATAGCAGCAGTGGAAGTAAAGGTACTAAGTATTAACTGTTTACTGTACAGAAATACAGTACATAGTAGACAATTCCTTAGAGATATGTACAAGTTTCATCATATGAGCACGAGCTTAAATGCATGAGCTTATAATGTATGGTCAAAATGAATGGTGGAAATATACCAGAATACAAACCAAGCAGTAGTAGTAGTAGCATTAACAGTAGTAGTAGTAGTAGTAAGTAATGTTGTGTATTTATATAGTGCATTTACAGACCAAGGTCACACAAAGCGCTTTACAATGTTCAGAAATCAGATACTTTTCCATTCACACGCGGTGATGATGGAGACGCCGAACACACTGGAGCATCAAAGCCCCCGACCAAACACCCTCCATTCGCTCACTCATACATTCATACCTATTGTACATGATTTTAGTGGTAGGGGAAACTGGAGCACCTGGAGGAAACTTACGCAGGCACAGGGAGTACATGTGAACGCCACTCAGAAAGGCCCTGTTCTGACCGGGATTCGAACCCAGGACCTCCTTGCTGAGAGGTAGTAGTAGTAATAGCATAGAAGCAGCAGTAGTAGCATCAGCAGTAGTAGCATCAGCAGCAGTAGCATCAGCAGCAGTAGCATCAGCAGCAGTAGCATCAGCAGCGGTAGGTGTTGTAGCAGTATGTAAATTAGTTTCACTTTTGGCTTTGGTTGTACTTTCCAACTATTTGCATAACTTAATTATATTCGGTTCATGTGAAAGTTCAACTAGATCCTCATTTTACATTTTGATTAATTGGCCTGATTTTAATAATAACAAATAACAACATCAATGGTTTAACCCGGAGCGGAAGAAAATGTCAGCCAGTGTTTGTTTTTCAACTTTTATTTTGTAGTAGTAAATGTTAAAAGATTCAAAAACCTTCAGAACGCTGTTTCATGGCCCCAAACATAAAAGATTCATGTCAAGAGTACAGTGAGAAAAACAGCTTGATCTAAAAGGCTATTTTGATAAAGGGTTGCCATGGTAACGTCACTCTTACTAACATTATATTTATATGGCTGCATGATTATATACCTGCATGATCAAAATATCTCATTATCTCATATCAGATTTGTCAGGCAGATATTGGGTTTGAGATTAGATTAAATATATGGAGGATTTTTCAACCACATAACAATCAAAAAAAAAAAAACTTTCCATCCATCCATTTTCTACCCCTTAACCCATTTCTGGGTCAGGGGGTGGCAGTCAGAGCTCCACCCAGTCCACAAAGCACCAGCCCCTCACTGATCCTCCTGCAGGTGGTGAGTCCACAGGAGGATGGCTGCTCTGTAAGTGTCAGCATAGCCTTGATCTTTCAGTGGGGACTTTTGGGCAAAGTTGGGTTAAGTGTCTTGCGGTGGAGGTATCGAGGTGGGATTTGAACCCACGACCTTCAGGCCTAAAGCCCAATGCTCTACCAACTGAGCTACTGTCATATTTTGTTGCAATACCATAAAAATTGAGCATACTCAACATATGAAAATTAGCTTGTAGTAAAAGTCCTACTAATTTTAGAGAAAGTTTTGTATATGTCTAATCTATTTTACAACATATTAATAGTAATAATAATTGTTACAAATGTAAAAGTGCAGGTTTTCACTGTCTGCAAGAAGATTTCACAATAAAGACTCAATATTGAATAATTGACAACGTTAAAGACAAGCAACAAGAAAATGAAAATGAAAATATACTCAACAGTGGATAGAAGTGTTATCGAAGTATTTAAATAATTGCAATGCGACCACTAATAATGCTGTTTGAATTGTGATTAATCTTGTATTTCTACATTCTAAAAAATGTAGCCGCTCTATAGTAAACATGTTAACATCCACTCAGATATATTGCAATAGGTTGTGCTCATGTGACATCACAAGATTCCAAAGAGCCTATAGTCTAAAATTGTGGTGGGGGGCAGCTTTGAGCAGATTATCGGTAACGTCTCTGTATTTCCTGGGCCTATTCACATTAACAAAGACTGTCAGAAAGTTGTGAAGTAAAATTGTTCTATATAATGCTTATCCTGATTTCATTCTGCCTGAAGAGAACTCTACAAACTGAAGAAAGGACTGAAACTGGAATAAAAAGTGCCCCACGGCATTTGTGCTTCTGAACTTGCTCAGTTTATCAACCTTTGACAAAAGTTCCATCTTCTTTGCCAGCAGATATCAACTATGATCTAATAATTTTCTCATAAAGGTGTCTCGAAGTGGTGAAAATAGTCAAAAAACATGTATGAGTCCGACCAGTATGTACTGTCAGGCATAAAAATAATACTGCAAGTTTGCGAATCCAATCTCTTTCAAATAATAATCTGGAAAAACATTTGAAAAACATTTAATTTATCAGATTTTCTTTCCCCTACTCTCCAACAGAAATACAATTCTCGATCATGAACTCAACGATTTTGTATTAGACTGGAGCCCTAATTCATTTCTCTCAATTTCCCACGGGAGAAAAGTTGGAGAGTGACTTGTATATTGTGGATTGTCAGCACATTCCCTTCAAACACTACTGTAGAGTTGCATCATGCGCCAGTTTAAATAGAAAAACAGCAGAAGTCCTCACGGGGGAAAAGCCGCCTCACAATATGCACAATGTTTTGACAACCTGCTGTCTCTAAACACATTTCAGCTCAAGCCCTAGCGCTCAAATCTGTTGCGTTTGTTTATTTTCGCCCGTGTTTTTTAGCTCCTAGCGTTAGCCACAGACGACCGGAGCACGGCTGTATTCAATGACTCATATACTGGAGGATATTGCAGCAGAGCCAGAGGTTTTTCCTTCCTGTCGACGCCATAAAGACCTCCCCATAGAAATGCTTTGAAAGCCCAAGTCAACAACGGCCTCCTCTGATTGGTCCGGATGGAAGCAGCTCGGCTTGTATTAAAAAGATCCCCCTCAAAAGAGTTCGAATGGGTCTCAAAGCAATAATAAACGTGGGCTTTCGATGCCGCGAGCCTTTTCTGCAGACGATACAACAGCAATTTACTAGATCTGTGAAACATGTTTAATTCCTGTGCTGATTATAACGCTCATGATGCAGACAGAGGTGTTTCAAATCAAAAATAACATTCAAGGACGTTTTTTAACATGTATGGACATTAGACATATGCTTCTTATGGACCAATTAACCCATTTTATCAATGCATTTCCTATGTTTATACGGATTCTCTGATCTGTGTTGGCGAATCGACATATTTTTGAAGTCCTCAAAGATACTGCTGTTGTGATTCAGGGCAATACAAAAAAATAATTCAATTGAAATTCTATAACATGTATGGACATTTATCAACATTCATGGACATTGGTCTCTCCCTATGGACCAATACATATGTGTATTTTTTGTGTCTTAACTGATTCTCTGATCTGTGTTGGTGATTTCAATGGTTTTGTTAAGTTCTCCGAGATGATACTGTTGTGATTTAGGGATATACAAGAATAAATTGTATTGTAATGTATTGAATGGAATGTGCAATGTGCAAAACGGCAACTTCAGAATGTCACTGAACAATGTCACTTTACTTAATCTACTTCTTATCCTGCCCTATATGTACAGTATATAACTCTACACTACTACATACTGTATATATATTTAATTTTATTTTGAAAGGCTGGTATTGAAGCATGTACAGCATTTACGGATAGTTAAGAACCATAGTCCTCCCTGTGTGTCTCTTACTGTCCTGTCTGTGCGCTGCAACATCGACATTTCCCCACTGTGGGACTAATAAAGGATTTCTTATCTTATCTTAAAAAGGTGAAGGGGGGACAACTAACCATGAAATGCTAATGTCTTGAGGTACTAAGATTTAGTGATCAAACACACATAGTTATTTAGTTTATTAATTTAAAGTGACAGGGACAGTGTACAATAAACATTAACCTCAAAGGGAGAGATGCATTGTACCAGGTTATAGTGCGAGAGCAAACTTCCACCTGTAGACCCTGGGCTGATGTTATGATCCAACATAAAATCAGACTCATTCTGCTTTCTGATTGGACAGGAGCAAAACTGTGAAATGGAGAAACTTTTTGAAACATGGCAATACAAAAATAAACTGGAACTGGTAACTAACCTTGAGATGTCTTGAGGTACAAGGATTTGGTGATCAAACACACTGGATTTCACCACAGTAACTAGCAACTGTTATTGAAATGTTTTTTAGATGATCTTTTTAATGAGTTTTGAGAACATAATGTTTTAAATCCATGTAAACAACCATTCAATAACACAATCCAGATCTGAGACTCATTCTGCTTTCTGATTGGATAGAACCATTAGTGTAAATTAGGTTTGAGTTTGAGAAAGGAGGATTGAGAAAAATGGATTGGTATCAAATGGTTCTTATGGATGGAGGTAAAATGGGGAATAATTATGAAACATGGATATAAAAGAAATCTAGTTAACATAATTCTATATCTTATCATTAAATTAGCCGGGTCGTTCAAGTCCAGCGTTACGTTCACTAAAAACAGCTTCTGGTCTTGTTGTGTTGTCGAGACAGGAGACAGCTTTTCTTGCTTATTTGGCCACTTTTATTCTCACTTCACTCAGGTGTAAAATTATTTCCCGTCTCCAGAAATACTTCAATCACTTCATTCGACGTAGCGTTTCCTAATTACAGATTCCTGTCTGTACAGTTGCTTTTGTCCTGGCAGCATCCTGTTTTTTATCATCTTGTTGCTGTCAACGTCTTTATTATTTTATCGACTTTTATCTTTTTTTATTAGATTTTGGATAAGACATGTCGTATTCCTCTTCAC